GTTCTCTCTTCATTTTATCCTCACAACGAGTGGGGATTCCAACCTGAGCCTCTCAAATCCTAGTCCAACACTCCAATCCTACACCATACTGGTTCTTAACATCATTAATGTTCATGCTGGCAATGGAGCCCCCGCATTTTCTGCAATCTGCCCATTTTGTGTTACCTACAGGAAGCGGGCATGAGACAGCCAAGTCTTCCACAGCCTTCAGTGTTGCACTCTCCAAGGCAGACATATAGACACCTTCACGTCTGATAAATAAGGTGCAGAAAGGGTTGTCGCGGGAAGTGACCTGATCCTGGCCAGTCCAGACATTGGATTAATTTTGTTGGTCTCCAGCCAACCTCCACAAACTACTGATTACTCTCTGGAAAGGACTGGGATGTAGGGGTCACTCATCCCTAGTTATAATGATCTATTAGAATCAGGGAAGGACAGGACATGGGACAATTCTCTACAAATACTCCCACCAAAAACTCATCACTTGTACAACTACTTGACAAATTACTGCATTTGTTTAGATAAAGAACTTCACTTACAGGGTATTGTTGCACAATCCGGAACACTACATATGTCGACACACAAAAAGAACAATCCCTGCTTTTGCCACATTTAATAAGGAAGACAAAAAGATGCCTCTAGGAGTTAAGCACATGCCAAGATAGAAATTAATTTGCCATGTAGTTGCAAGTTGCCTTATTATAACTTCTTATAATTAATGTTTTAAAAATAGCTGCCATCAAGCCGCTACAAAGGTCAGGCGCAGCATACTCTAAAGGGTCACATTTATTTATTATTCTGTTGCTAAATCAACGGATTTCATCCAAGGCCTCATCAAAGGAAGGAGGGAAGCCTGATTGCATTTTCCTAGTGACAGCAATGATTCTCAGAAGAGGAGGGGAACTAGGACCTACCCCAGGAACTGGTCAAAAATAAAAGCCTCTCCGTTAGATTGGGACTGGGGTTTTTTTCTTCCTAAATAAAAGCTGAAATAACTATTAACAGCAAACATTTAATTTTATAACTGTTTGTGGCGTGAATCTGAGTGTTCCTCCAAGGAAAGAAAACCAGATTGAAATTCTGTTATTCCCTTGTATTATACTTTATTTTTTACAGTATCTTAATTTTAATAAGTTGTATTTTGATATTTTATTGATTGTATTGTTTTAGACTTGATATTGTATTAATTGTATACTGGTTTTTAACTATTGTAAGCCACCCTGAACCGCCTAGGCGGGAGGGTGAGGTAAAAGTCTAACTAATAAATAGATAAATAAATAATATTTTTGATGAATTAATGTTGCCAACTCTGAGTTGGGAAATACCTGGAGATTTGGGAGTAGAGCCTGGGGAGGTTAGGGTTTGGGGGAATGAGAGACATTAGCAGGATATGATGTCATAGAATCCAGAAGGAGGAGGAAGAGGAAGAGGAGGAGGAGGAGGAGATTGGATTTATACCCAGCCCTTCACTACCCAAGGGAGTCTCAGAGCGGCTTACAAACTCCTTTTCCTTTCCCCTCCCCACAACAGACACCCTGTGAGGTGGGTGGGGCTGAGAGAGCTCTTGACAGAAACTGCTCTTTTTCAAGGACAGCTCTTATCAGAACTATGGCTTGCCCAAGGTCATCCAGCCAGGTGCAAGTGGAGGAGTGGGGAATCAAACATGGTTCTCCCAGATTAGAGTCTGCGCATTTACCACTACACCAAACTGGCTCTCAAATGTAGCCACTTTCTCCAGAGGAACTAATCTCTGTAGTAGGGAGATCAGCTATCATTCTGGGGAATCTTCAGGCCCCACCTGGAGGTTGCCAATCCTATGCTGAATCCTCACTATGCAGAAATCCATATTTTGTCAGTGGGTGGTCCTATTTTCCTACCCTACTGAGAGAGACTCAACCCAAAAGTTAGTAGTACAAGCTAGGGATTCTAAAGAACTGAGGAAGGGAGGAATAATTTGGAACTTTCAGTCCCTCACACTTTCCTCTCAAGCATTCTACAAGCTCTCAGGAGATTGAGCCGGCTGATTCCTGCACCCCAATCTTTTCTCTTCGCTGCAACTCAATAATTCTACATCAGGCTCAGTCCTCATAATACCATTTCCCTGAAGATTGGGGTAAGGGTCTTTTGCTGCCGATTAATGTTCAAAGTTGTATTTTCCTGCATACCTGGAAATTCCCCCACGTCTGCATAAACCTTCACCACGTCTGCAGGTAATCTAATTTTGCTGCCTTCCTCAAAGGCTCTTGTTCACAATATTTGCTATTAGTCTAGATGGAATGATGATACTGTAAGTACAGATTCATCTCTAACTCCCTCCTTCTCTCTCTGTAAAACTACACACAAACCTAATGGTAGACAAGCAAGTCACAGAAGATTTTTATACATCACAGATTTCCTAATCCATATGCCATGTAGAATTTTTTAAAATGCTTGGAGAATGGCTCCACAAATTATTATTAACTAGGAATAAGGCTTGTGAAAATAAATACAACAAGCTCTAGAAAGAGGCTCTGGGAGAGTGTCAAGGCCTTAGGCACTCAGCATCAATGTGCTGTGGCAACCTCAGCAGGGTATAATGACACAGAGTCCACCATTTTCTCCAGAGGAACTGATCTCTGCTACCTGAAGAGCAGTTGTAATTTTCAGTGATCTCCAGCCCTCACCTGGAGATTGGCAACAATTGTTACCCAGGAGGAAATGGCTGGTTTGGAGGGTAGAGTCTATGGCATTGTGCCTGTCTGAGGTCCAACCCCTCCTCAAACCTCACCCTCTCCAGGCTCCACCCCTCAAATCCCCAGGAATTTACCAACCTGGAGTTGGCAACCCCATCTCCTTCGCAGCTAACCATCAACCTACCGTTATCTGCCCCTCTGACTTCAGCTTA